GCTGCAGATTTCCATATCAAAATTTAGCATGTGCAGTGACTCTACTCGACGAGCCATGCCTGTTTTCGAATCCGTGCACGGAAAGCTGACTAGCTTCCGTATCAGCCACATCTCTTGCGCCTTTGGCCATAATGTTAAGTCTATGACTTTACTATCCCCAAGCCTCATATCAGTCCACACCCATGTATAGTAGTTATTTACTTGCTCTGAATCGGCCTATTGCATATGTATCCTCTTGATTTCCGATTATCGCTCGAGAACCTGTTCAAATTGCATCCTTGATCTATTCGCCTTCTTCAGGCTCATCTTTATATTCCCTTGCCTCCTACAAATCTGCTTAAGAAATACTCAAAGTTTTCGCTTAAGCTGCCATCTTCCGAGCTATTGTTAATTAGATTTCTTTCAGTCAGGGCATCAAGCGACTTTCTAAAGTTGTGTTTTCTCGAATTTTCACCCCAAATAGCCAATCCTTCCGTTGCCTTCCAGTTGAATTCGTGTTCTTTTCATGCGATATGTTCTTCTATTTTAGATATTTTTTAATCCTCGTTTCTGCAACGTCATCCGTACCGTTCATTAGTAGGTTGAATTTTTTTCCTGTTTTAGCCATATACTTATATTCTATCTTCTCGTGTCTCATCGGCAAGATAATAAAGGATGTTATCATTTTAGTTATCACCTTAATATTCAATTTTCTTAAAATCGTTCATAGTTTCTGGCTCACTTCACACGAGGACAGTTTGTCTGTATTGTTCCTGATTTTCTTTTCTGAATAGTTGCTCCTTGTGACCTTTATATGCCTTTGTACAACCTCTCTGGTGTATCAGTTACTAAGATATATCCTAATCATTTTTTTCAGTTCTTCTAAGAACAGATCGTGCAAAGTAGCACCTCGAGTTGCACAGATATGGTGGCAGTGATCGAGTGAACTCACTGAGCCAAGGGAATATGACACGGATATTACAGGGAAAGGGAAAGATTTTGATAGGACATAGATAAGTTAGAGGTTGCTTGACCTCATTTTCGCAACTTGGTCAAATTTGTAGGAAGACTTAGAGGAACTTACCTAGTCCGGACTGCATTGTATGCATCATCATTTCCAAAGTCAGAACGTAGACGTGGTATATTTCCAGACGTTTCGCCGGCATCGTAGTCGACATCGTCAGTGAGTCTCGCCACTCTTACCACCACACAACAACTCGTCAAAGAGACTAGTGAAGCCGATCATTTGACGAAACGCGCGCTAATAAACAGTTGTGGTATCTCCCTTTCTGCCCTGGCCTATTCACATTTCCTATATCCTCCTATCACACCTTCACTGTTACCATTTTTGCCGTGCTTATTTCGATGTAGTGTGGTGCGCTCCTTTGAGCGGCATTCATGAAAACCCTTCACAATCCACGTTGTGGTTTAACATTGAGCCTAATCAAAGCAAGCAGTACCAAAACATTTGTAGGTTGGCACACAAGAGACTAAGGCATAACAAGTCATATACTTGGCATTATGGAGAGAAATAGAATAGACGTGGTGGAGACTAGAGATATATGCCTAAAAATAGACGTGTTTGATCATAGACGTGATCTATGAAGTACGTCTATTTTTAGTCAAATATCTCTAGCCTCCACCTCATCTATCCTGTTTCTTTCCCCATACCAAGTCGATGACTTGCAATGCCCTAGTCGCTTGTGTGCCAACCCACAAACGTTGTGGTTCAACATTGAACCTAATCAAAGCAAGCAGTTAAGTTAACTGATCTGGCACACAAGAGACTAGGGCAAGGGAAGTCATAGATTTGGTATTAGAGATAGAAACAGGATAGACGAAGCGGCGATGGGAGCTAGTGGGTTGTAGGTTGTCTAAGGGATGTGGTCCATGTGGCAAAGGCCTGACTATGAGACTAACTCAGAGGCTTTAGCCTCGAATTAGTCACTAAGACGTAGAAGGGGGGCGAATAACGCCTCGAGTGGAACAGATGAGGTGGCAGGGGTCGAGTCAAATATGTGAACCAAGGAGAGGGCAGACGAATCTTACGGGGCAAGAGAGAGATTTTGATAAGACCTATGGAAGGAGGATTGCGTAACAATATGGCAAACTGTGATCAACATTCACAGCATAAGGGTGAAAGGGGCGAGAACGACAGCGTGGAGTGTGAATGGTTATCATGAATGCCGCCCAAAGGAGCACACCACACTACATCGAAGTAGGCACGGTAAAAATGGTGACAGTGAAGGTGTGATAGGAGGATATAGGAAATGTGAATAGGCCAGGGCAGAAGGGCAGATACCACAACTGTTTAGTACACGTTTGGTCAAAGGATCGGCTTAACTTGTCTCTTTGACGAGTTGTTGAATGGTGCTAATAATGGCGAGACTCACTGACGATGCCGACTACGATGCCGGCGAAACGTCTGGGAATGTACCACACTCTGGAAATGATGATGCATACAATGGACTCCGGACTAGGTGCGTTGTTTAAGCCTTCCTACCAATATGACCAAGTTGCGAAAACAAAGTCAAACAACCTCTATACAACGAAATGAGTCTGAGACCACACAAAAGGCCACACCATCTTGGCCTTTATACCATGGACAAGTTATATGTCAGATTTAAAGGGCAAAATTGGATGAATGCTTCATGCACACTGGATTGGATGAGGAAACACGTGGCGAGTATGAATGGGCTTCTCTAAATCTGGACTAGTTTAAAATAAGCAATAATTTTCGACAGAGAAGATGATGATGTATGATAAGTGAACGCACCAGAACAGAAAGAGAGATATCACAATCATTTAGTCGACAGTTGGCTATCCATCTGATGACTTGGATTATACCAAGTATATGGTCTGATGCTGGGAATCATGACAACTACTATGACAGACGACTTCGGACCAGGTGCGTTCTACTAAGTCGCCCTGACAACAAGACAAAGTTGCGACAACGAGTTCAACCCACTTATATAAGTCGAAAGGAGACTGCGACCATACCAGAGGCCACAACATCTTGGTATTTATATCTTCCTGAATACAAGGTTGTACAAATGAGGTCAAATCAACATTAATACATTTTAGCAACGAATCAATGCACTTGAGCTTGGTCTACGACAAAGTGATTATGAAAATCCCGCAAAACTAATGGTGAGACCCGCTATCAACGTGCCTAATAACTTGATTAGATTATTGCGTTTAAAGTCAAATTTCCCATAATAATATGAATAAAGATCACGATATCATTAAATTTCATTAAGGCTTATAGTGTTGGTGCGCCTTTTTTTCGCAACTTGGTCGGAGCGTTGGGGAGACTTTGTGGAACGTACCAAGTCCCGTGTTCTCTGCCATAGTATTCGTGATTTCCAGCATCGGACCAATGGCTGAGTACATTTCCAAACGTTCCATGGAGCCACGCCTTCCAAACGGGTTTCTTCTTCAGGAGCTACTGTAGTTTCGACTTTGTTTAGGTATCATTAGTGCCCCTACAAACCGGACTTTATTTCGGGTCATGCTCGTCGTGGCAACATGTTACCATTCAGCCAGATTACCACAGCTGCTAGTGGGTCCCAGGGCAGATCTAATTTGAGGTCAAACCAAGTCGCTCACGACTCACAGTTATAGTGGAATTATGGATTGGGCAAGTTGTATTTGTAATCGCAATAGATGATGGTACTTATCTTCGATGAAAGTAGTTTTCGTGACTAACAGTAATTTTAAATAAAGAATTTAATCACCCTAGATTGCTTAAGGCAATTGAAGGTATGAGGATCAAAATGGTATGGCCGATTGTATAGTCGCGGTCCCCTTTCTCTGTATAAAAGTTGTTTGCAACTTGATCATATTAGCAAGAATATCTAGAGGAGCCCACCTTGTAGAGTTGTTCACACAATTATATGTTTAGTATTCGCAATGTCACAAATCACCGGTTGTCGTGAAAACTACTCTCATCTAAACAAAATACTATCGCAAATTTGTTGGCAAATAAATCCTTTTATCATCAGCAATCCCATTGTAAATTTGAGTTGGGTGGGACTTGGCATAACTTGAATGTCGAAAAATGGCACGTGACCCATTGACGTCTGTAGCTATTCGGCAGAGTTGCAACTTAAGTGGCCAGAAGGCGCTCAACCTGGTTTCCATTCCGTTGGGGTGCTGAAGAGACCTATGCGATGTCGAAACTGCTGTCTAGCCTGGCTCATAAAATTTTTGCGAGGCCAGGTGAAATGTAATGATACCACGACGCCTAGTCATAGCATTGTGGAAAAAGCTCCACTATGAATCCTATAATCCCCTTAAGCGACCTGGGCTGAATAAAAGTTTGTGAATTAATTATCGCCAATCTGTAGAGCTTCATAGAAGACTTGCCTAAAGCCTCAATGAGATTCAAATGCAAAAGTAAAGGGCATATTAATTAATTAAATGAAAGGTCTACATGGTTCTATCTCAATCAGAGATAGCCAGTACCGCAAGGTCCATCAATAACGATGACGTAATAAGGGTTCAAAGTAAAGCATCTGTGACGAAAGAAGGAGAGATTTT